TCCCCTCACCCACTGCCTGATCATTCGTACCCATTCTCTCCTGCTTCCTCAAAGTGGCTGTTTAGGCCGCCCTAACTCAGCCATTGATCCCTTTCCCTCTGAATGTCAGTTTCGTGTTTGTTTTAAAAGTCACCTGCTTAGTTGATGTCAGCGTATGTGTATTTGGTGGGTAAATAATTTTGGGGGGGGACTCCTGTGGTAGGTAAGAGAAGAAGGGCGCTAGGAGCTGTTCTTCCTCCCTTCTCCGAGTTGTATCCATAAGCTTCTACGAGGTATGGAAGGGGGAGCTGTAAGACAATGGGAACTTTTTAAAACCTGAAGATTTCGAAAAGCACTTAATCACCTCCTTCTTAAGACTTGTCTGGGGCACTCCCAAACTCTGCCCGCTCCCACCAAGACTGGCAGACCTCACTAATAGGGTTTCTCCAGATGAGGACCCAGGTTTGGGAACATCACAGCTTGGCTTTGCTCCCTGGATTCCAGTGCCTCCCCATTCCAGGTGCCCCCTTCTCCCCCTGCCCCTTGACATGGAGGCAAATGGGATTCCAGGCTCTACACCAGTTCTTGGTTCCTCCTACCAGGCCCTTTGTTCCTCATGTCCCCATATTTCTCTTCCTGTGCATCTTGGCACCTTTCTTCTGTTCAAAGTTTTCTGTAAATTTTCTCTTTTCTTCCCTTTCTTTTTTTTTTCCTTTCTTTTTTTTTTTTTTTTTTTTTTTTATAAATTAATTTGCTTTCAGTTCCATCTTGTGGATGCCTCTGTGTTCTCTTACCTGTGACTGTTAGGCAGGGGGATCGGACTGGGGGCAGCATTCCTAGAGTACCTCACAGGGGCATTCACCATTCACAGGGCTGGAGAGGCACTTTGCAAACTACAAGGCCTACAGACACTGTGCGGTTCTCCACTGAAGGCAGACGAGCTGTCAGGACTGGGCACTGCTGTAGCAGCAGAGACTCTCACTTGCCCTAAAAATAGCTGCTTGAGACTTGGAAGGACATGCCCATAACATAGAGATTTTGTATCTTTATCCTTTAGAAGTAGAAGCTTCATTCCTTCCCTTATTAGGGAGGAAGCAGTCTCTCACTTCTGTTGTTATTGGCCCCCAGCCCTGCCAGTGTGATGGACAGGCTCAGGAAGTGCTAACATGGCTTGGCTTTAGCCCTAGTCAACAATCCCAGGCTCCTCCCACAAAAGGCCTTCCTTGCTTAGAAGGGTGGGGGATAGATTTAAGGAGCCTGAAGGCTAGAAGATTCAGCCTGATATGGGATGGAACTGAAGGACACCCTCCCCTGCCAGAAAAAAAAAAAAAAAAAGGCTTGGTCCAATAAGGATTTAGGGATCTACCGCTTTCCTGATCCCCAGGGGGATTGCCTTTGCAACATGCAACATTTCAATATCAGTACAAGGCCCTTTCCAACTTTCCCCCAAACTCTGGCCCACTGTTCTTGGGCTCTGGGCTCTCTCTGTCTCAGGGCAGAAATCATCACCATCTCACCTTTTCCCCATTTAACCCTGCTTAGGAAGAAAAGTAGAACTGAAATGTAGGCCAAAAAACAGGTTTATTTGGTGAATGCTGATGGCAAACATCATCCATGAAAGACCAGGTGGGAAAGGTGTTTTGACAGGGGAGCCTAGGAAGCCTCCAGGGTCACCATACAAATCTCATACAGGGCAAGGCACAGGCTCAGGGAATACCAGCAATGTCCTCAGCCATTCAGCACCATCCGGACAAGCTCTGTGGAAATGAAAGGAGGGGTGAGCCCAGGGAACAGGGCTGGGGAGGGGTTACACCATGGACCAGGAGACTACAAGACCATGAAGGTAGCATGAGAGGGAGCATGCCCACAGCAACCAACCTTGGGGTCAGTTTGCAGAAAAGCCACCTTAAGTCTAATCAGTTCTCTCTGGCCCTGGCTTCCCTCCCACCAGCTGTTAGTCACCACCCCACCTTGAGCAGCAAGAACACAGCAGAGGCAGAAAGGTTCTCAACTACACCTACAGCTACTATCAGCCACTGGAGGGAGGAGAGGACAGAGTTTTGGGTTAGGGTACCTCCAAGCTGCCCAGCAGAGGGATGGGGATAGGGCTGTTCAGCTATAGCAGCAGAATGGGGCAGGCAGCCTACCCACCTATGCCAATTCTCCATGCTCCAGGGCCAAAGGACTACCCGAAAGCAAGATTAGCTACAAGCTGGTGTGAGTTCCCAGACACCAGTACCGAGGGCCCTATAAGCAAAATCTCAGACCATTCTAGGAGAGAGGTGGGAGGTACCATACCCCCAAGCTGCCTTCCTCTTTGAGGAATCCCTCCCCTCCCTAGCCAGCTCCATGCACATACATGCCAGAACGAAGTCAGATGGTAGTAGGGTAAGGGCAAGGGCTAGAGAGCACAGTTTGGGAAGAAAAAGAAACACTGGGGGAGATCATCTACAGAAGGAGAGGCTGGGAGGAGCCGTACCCGCCCCACGGGCCCGTCACCCCGACAGGATATGCCTCACAAACGCTGCAGGAAGGAAGAGACATTAATGGTGAAGACAAGACACAGACATGGGGTGAAGGGTTCAGGCAGTGGGGAAACAGACATTCCATTTACTTCCCATTCCTTTGCCCTTCATTATCCCTTACTTTCCCGTTATCCCCGCCCCTGCCCCCTGCACAAACTTCCCACTCCTGGCTGGGCTGGGCCCTGCCTCTTGCCTCCTGGCTCTTTGGAGCCCAAATCCAGGGACAAGGAAAGCCCCAGAAGCTGTCCATAATATGCCCGCTATATGCTAACTGTGAAAGCCCCCAATTTACCCCTCACCTTCATAGTTGATACAACCATTGCTGTCCTCATGCCCCGCCACCAGCATCTCCACTTCTTCCTCTGTCATCTTCTCACCTACAGAGAGTGAAAGTGCATTTTTGGATTTGGGTGGCAAGTGAAGTACCTCAGGGTGGCACCTTAGTTCCAGGACAAGGGCACAGGGCCTTACCCAATGTGACAAGGACATGACGGATTTCAGCGCCCATGACAGTACCATTCCCTTCCTTGTCAAACACCCGAAGACCTTCAACATAATCTTCATAGGTTCCCTGGTCCTTGTTCTTGGCTACAGTCTGCAGCATGGGCAAGAAGTGCTCAAAGTCCAGCACCTTTACATTCATCTCTGTCATGGGAAGTGGAAAAGTGTCAGCCAGAGAAGTCACGAAATTCCCCAGGAGAGGGAATTATGGGGGTCACAACAGATGTTCCCATTCAAAGAGGAATGCTGTGGGATTTGCTAATCAAGACAAGATTTGGTTAAGCCTGGGTCCTATGGCAATAAAGTTCAGCTGAAGTACTGTGGACCTACTACACCACACTGAATTGTTCATAAGGATGCTCACCATCACTCTTGGGGTTCCCCAGGACCTTGAGAACCTCGGCGTTGGTGGGGTTCTGGCCCAGAGCCCTCATCACATCTCCACACTGGCTGTACAGGATCTTGCCATCACCTGTTCGGTCAAACAGCTGGAAGGCCTCCTTGAATTCTGAGGATTCAAGTGAACATGAGCACTTGGAATGAGGGGGTCAGCTCAGATCCTACTTCAGAGTGATCTGCTGCCTGGTCAACTTTGATCACACTCTGGAAACCAGATACTACCCTGCTGCACTCACAAGTCAGCTAAGAACAATCTACTTTTCCCAACTCAAATGTCCCAATTAAAAATACAGTCTTTCTCCCATCCCCACCTTGTCAGCACAGTAATATTATATATACACCCCCCTCTGCCTACAGCAGGTCAGGCCCAGCCTCTTCACTACTACTACACTACTCAGGGCAGGAATTTGCCACCGCCCCATCTGGGTCCAGACCTTATAAGGAAGTGAGAGCAGTGGCCTGGGGTCATTCTAGCCTGCCACTTCCCACCCTTCCTCTACAAAGAGACCTTCCAGAAGGTGGAGCTGCAGTTAATCCTTAGCATACTCTCCCAGTCCCCAACTTCACAAAAATATTAGGTCACTCTTTGCAATCTTCACAAATCCAAGCTGGGGGAGGAGGACAGTTGCTAACAGGACAACAGAAGAAGCAGAAGTCACTGATTAAGGGACAGAGGAGCACAAACAGCTTAATACACCCTCCCCAAATCCCACATACATCAGGCATGAGGTAACTCAAGTTGTTTCACATACCCACAGCACCTAAAACTCACCCAGTGCTTGGGGCTCAGATCTAGAGTGGAAGGGGAAGGAAGAAAGAATGAGAAAAGAAAATGGAGGAAGGGAGAAGGGAATCCAGGAGGTACTTTCGGGGGAGGGGGGTGCGAGAAAGATGACAGGTTGGGGTTAGAGGATAAGTGCCAGGGGGGTGTCCCTCTCCCTAAGGGCGACCTCAGTTGGGATCAGAGACTGCCTACCTGCGGTCTGATCCTCCGTGAAGTCACACTGCTCGGAGAAGAAGGGAGTGGTCAGCATCTGAATTCCAATCCCACAAGCGAACATCCCAGTCCCACAAAGTCCTGTTGTTCACGCTGGAGACTCTCTTCCCCGCAGGACTGGGCCCTAAACTTTCCAACCCCATCGCCAACCTTTCAAGCCCTCAGGCCCCCTTTGCCCCCGACCCCTGCCTCCCCTCCTCGCCCCACACCCCGCTTATCCCCAGGCCTCGGGCCCCACCATCTTGACTGCTCAGCTCTGCGGGACCTTTTCCTGCAGTAATGGCTCCGACTCCAAGGCCAACCCTAGTCTTAGTACGTCCTAATGACGTCACCCTCCTCGAATTCAGCCAATAGGAACCCCGACCCGGATTTATGCAGATGACAATGCTGCATCTGTAACGAGGTGGGCGGGCCGGCTGTGGTCCCTTCTGGGCTGCAGCCCTACCTGGGCGCAGAAGCCGCGCAAGGGGGTGGGGTGGAGTGCACAGTGTCCGCTTCTCCGAAGACCCTGAAGATCCGAGGATATCAGCTTTGGGAGAGGAGAGGGCCCACCCTTTACTCCTACCCATTCCTCTGAAGAAAACAAGTCTGAGACCAAGCAAGGAACCATGTCTTTATTTTGACACAATAGGTGGCCGCCTAGTGGCAGAAACGTGCCTCCGTCTGCCTGGGAGAGGGAAGGCAAGCCGGCCCCACAGGATCTGTGGAAAAAAATGAAAGTTGCCAAGCCCTGGCGCTTGCGCATTGATTGGACAGGAAAACGCACTCCCCGGCTTTCTTGCTGGCCGAGGGAAGAGGAGTCTTGCCCCTCAAGCCGAGCTGGGGAGGCTGGAGGGCCTACCTGTAGAGCTCAGACGCTTAGGATGTGCTTCAGGAAGGCTGCAGAGAGAGCAGGCAAGAAGGCTTCAGAAGCAGACCCTTGGATAATCCATCCAACTGTAGGTAATCCAGGTTGCCCCTCTCCCACCCCGCACTCCTCTTCCACCCCTGGACCCTCTGCGCCTCTGACTACCCTTACCCTCATAGTTGATGCAGCCATTACTGTCCTCATGTCCTGCCAGAACCGTCTCCACCTCCTCCTCAGTCATCTTCTCTCCTGAATCCCAAACACAGCATTGGAGCCCCCTGCCTTTCCTCCCTCTCCTAACCGGGCCAGCTCTTCCCACCCTGAATCTTGCTTTCCATATTGCCAGCCTGAACACAGTGTCTAGGACCCAGTGAAACCTTTGACAGGAAACTGAAGCCCCAAGGATTGACTTAAATGGAATCACAGAGCACAAGAATTGCTTCCAAAGCTAGAACTTTAGGGCTTCCACCACATTCTCTTTCTGTCCCTTTTGGAAAGCATTTTAGTCTTGAGAAGTCCCTCAGATTCTGCCCTCATGGATTTGACCTTCTTAATCTACTGTCTATGACCTGCAAGATAATAATCCCCTCCCTGGCTCTGCCTAGCTTGCCAACCTTCTTACTGATCTACTCTCTCCTCAATTTCTGGTCCCTGCCTTACCCAGGGTGGTGAGGACATGTCTGAGCTCTGCGCCCATCACTTTGCCATTCCCCTCCTTGTCAAACACCCGAAGCCCTTCCAAGTAGTCCTCATATGTGCCTTGGTCCCGGTTCTTGGCCACTGCTTGGAGCATGGGTAGGAACGTCTCAAAGTCCACGCGCCTGGTCTTCAGCTCTGGAGGTCAGAAAGAGGTGAGAGAGAGGTCATTGTGGTATCACCCAGGACCCAGCTCTCATCCCTACCAAATCTTTCATCCCCTTCAGCATTCAGGATGTTTTTCTGCCCTTTTGTTTAAGTTTTTGAAGTCCTGAGGTCCACCCAAGCATTCTTTGTCACCTTACCAACATTCTACCATTGCAAATTGATGACTGAATATGTAGCTCAGTGGTAGAATGCTTGGGTAGCATGCATAAGACCCTGGGTTTGATCCCCCAGAGCTCCTGCAAAAAAAAAAAAAAAAAGAAAACCCACTTGTTCCAAAGCTCCTCTTACCATCACTCTTGGGATTCCCCAGGACCTTGAGCACCTCAGCGTTAGTCGGGTTCTGACCCAGAGCCCTCATTACATCCCCACACTGGCTGTACAGGATCTTGCCATCGCCTACTCGGTCAAACAGCTCAAAGGCCTCCTTGAACTCTGAGATGTAAGGAGGGATCAGTGTTGATCAGTGGTGCCCATTCCTCCACCGCCCCCCCCTCAAGGAAGGATCAGAAATGGTGTGGTAGACCTGGGTGCAACAAAGTTGGAAAAAGGACTAGTGTGGGAGGTTTCAAGGTCGGGACTGGAGTTATGGGAACAGAGAAGGGATCTGAGCAGGGTTGCTTGGGACTGGACAGTGGGCTTAAGGAACCAGCTTCTCCTCACCCTCCAGCTGGTCCTTGTTAAACTCGATCTGTGGAAGAAAAGAGCAGGTGAGGAGAGATGTCAGGGTTTATTCAATCCCACTCCAGCACCCCTCCCAACCAGCTGGCAGCCACTTCTGGGGAGGGGCCCAAAGGGACCAAGCTGGGAGCCCAGCCACCTCAGTCCCATTCCCAGCTCTGGGCCTTGGGAGAATCCCAAGAGGAGGAATTATAGTGGGGAGGGTTTCCTGGGAACAGGGTTAATCCCATGCCACCTGTTTCCCTCCCTCCACTGCCCTGGGCCCTGCATCCCTCACATAACTGGGGGCTGAACAAAGGCTAAATTTACTCCTGGCCCCCAGCTGTGATTGTCTAACAAGCCTGTCCTCTTCAGCCTCCCCTCCTGGGGTTCAAATCTGTGGCCTTTTGAATCGAATAGCCAGCCAGAAGCAGGCAGCAACTCCTTGCCTTCACCTTGAAACTGTCCCCAGAACCCAGGTGTTCCCCACCTCACAGTCCCTGCCTCCACCAGGGGATCAGCAAGTATGTATATATGGTACACATATGTCATAGGATAGAAGGACAGACAACAGCAAAGACAACAGCAGAATCATAAGCCCAATAGGGGACTGCAAGGAACCTCCAATCTCATTCATCCCTATCTTCTATGTACTCCCTAATCCTCTAGGCAGAATCAGACCCTGAATCACTCTCTCCACACTGTCGCTTTCTGGGGACTCACCACCACTTTAGAGAGATCCACAGGGGGCTCCTGGGTTTTCACAGGCGCCTGGGGAACAGCAGGCTCAGCCTTGGTCTTGGCTGTAGGGGCCCCTGCTGCTGGCTTGGCAGCAGGCTTAGAGATGGAGGGCCCTGCTGGTTTCTTCACGGGAACATCCTTCTTGGGAGGCATGATGTCCGGTGACCAAAGGACAGTGTGCTGATGGGGGCACCCATCTCTGTTTAAATAGCCAGGGAGTCTGGGATGTCAAGGGGCGGGGGCAGGGGCAGGGAGCCAGTTGGCGGTGGTGAGGGTGAGGTAGGAGAGATATGCCTGCCTGTCCTCACTCCCCTGGCCTACTATGGTTCAGAACTCCTGCCCCAAGGTTTTCTTTCCTCTGCCCACTCCTCCCCAAAAGATGACCAGAATATTGTTCCCTTTGGGGGCAGAGGGAGTAAGCCACAGACTGCCCAGAATGAGGGAGTTAACCTCCTGGGTAAGGATAGGATGCTTGCCAGTGACACTGAGATAGGGGTGAAGCAAAGGAGTGAAGCCAGAAGTTCTAGACTCTAGAAAGCTTAGGGAGGGGTGGGAGTCGGGGAGTGGGGGAGAGCCTGGAGAGGTTTGTGTGCAGTGGGAACATTTAAAGGGTGGTCTGGAAACAGTGAAAGGTGAAAAAACAAGCAGCCTGTCCAGCCCCCCTAACCATGAATGAGGGCAGGGATAGCTGACCCCATAGTCTAATAATTCCCAGTACTTGAAGTCTCTAGGCCCCCCAGTCTAGGCCTGAAACTGTGCATAGTAATAGGGGAGGGTGAGGCTCTCCATTGTCTCCTGTATCTAGTACTGATTTAGGGGTGGGGGTATAGCTAAAAATCAAGTTTAACACCCACCACCCATACCCATTCTTCCAAAGAAGGAATCTTCTTCCACAAGCCCACAATCATTCAAGTCAGACAAAAGGTAGGGTGCTTGCTGAAAATGCAGGGAATCCCTGGTGGTACCTGGGGGTAAGGGCCGCTCTAGGAGAGAAAAGGCCTAGATTCTGTAATCCAAAAGGATATGGAAACTCCTATGGGCTCCATGAGTACTCATCCCCCAACCAAGGATATAATTAATAAAAGCCCTGACTCTGGCTCCAGGTTACAAAACCTTGCGGGGTGCGGGGTGGGGCAGAGAAGAAGGGACAAAGTTGGGGGTGTGAGGAAGGGGTGCTGGCTACTTTTGTTCTAGGAAAAAAAGGAGAGGATTTAGGCAGCAATCTGAGGAAGAGAGTAGTGATATCCACTTGGGCCCTGGGGTTCAGATTGATGCTGGGTTCCCATTTGCAAAAAAGCCTCTGAATCTCATTACAGCAAATTGTCTTAATTTTGGAAAATAAGAAATCATTCCTTCCGCGAATAATACATCCATCTTACGCACGCATATCCCTAAGCCTTAAAGGAAAGAAGCCCTCCCCAGTCCCCCAAAACTCACCCTGCAGGGTCCGGGTAAGGGGCGGGGACCGAAGGCAGCGCGGCTCCGGGCCCTGAAAGGTTAATTCCGTCAGCCGCGGAGCATGCCGGGAGTCGTAGTCCTCCCTCGCCCGCGGGCTCACGGGAAACTTTCCAACTCGGTAGTGACGCGAGGGCGTGGGCAGGGCATCCGGACCGCGACCGCGGTTAGTGACTCAGGCTCTGCGGAGTGGGCTTATCTTGAGCAGTCCCCTCCCTTGACCCTAAAACGTTGCGGGGCTGCTCAGGATATCCGCTGTGCCTAGCCCTGTGGTGAGTTTAGAGTGGCAAGGGTGTTTTTCTGCATCTCACCAAAGGTGAGAGGACTCAAAACCAGAGGAAAAGTTGCAGCCGGCGGTTTGAAGATCAGATAGCTGAAAGCACTGTACCGCAGAGAGTAGCTGTGATGTCTTTCGTTTCCTCTAGCAATTTGATACAGGGAAAACAGGCTAATTGTTGTGTGGCTTGGAGCAGTTAACTTTCAAAGTGTATTTTTATTTTTTAAATAAACTGGTCGCTGAGGTAAATGAGATTTACAGTTAAGCCCGGTCACCTGACCTCAGACTCTGCAGCCACATTTGCACCATTCAATGCTCTGGCGAGGCACCTCGCGCTGGAAGCCAAGGCTATGGGTATGCAAAGAGTGGCTCAGATTAGAAAACCGCCCGGATCCCCAGAGTGAGGCCCAAGTGAACTTTATGGGGTATAAGTTAAGTTTACTGGTTGGGGAAAGCTTCTCAGAAGAGTAGAAATGGAAGGGTTAAGGATATGGCTCAGAGGTCCTGGCTTCGATCCTCACTACCACCCTCCCAAAAAAGAATAGTAGTAGAAAAGTTGTGTAGGACACAAACAACCCGAAGAAGCCAGGCTGCAGCCGGAGGATGACAGGTTTAAGGCCAATCTGGAATGATATAGTTAGAAACCACTCTTGAGAGCTAAATTACAGAAGCAGCATTGGTCCACTCTCATTAGAATCTGTAAAATAGAAGTTTTAAGAGAACCCATGTTTGGAGGGACAACACCATAAGGGATTTTTGTCTTTCCAGGGACTGGTGGGGCTCAAACCCAGGACCTCCTACTTGCTAGGCATGTGCTGGACCACTGAACTACATAACCTGCCCAATTCTTGTTTTGCAGTACTGGGGATTGAACTGAGCTACATCTCCAGCCCTTTTTATGTATTATTTTTAAAATTTTGAGATAGGGTCTGGCAAAGTTGCTGAGACTGGACTTGGATCATGCCATCCTCCTACCTCGGCTCCCTCTCCCCCAGTCTCTGAGATTACAGACAGGTGTCACCATACCTGGCTTCTGTCCAATTTCAAAGATGTGGTCTATCTATTTTTTTTTTTTTAACTTACCCTCCTTTCCTCTAGCTGTGGTCCACTTTAGGCATTTGCCTAGTATGAGATTTATGGCGTCAGTGGACTTGATACAATTTTCTGTTTGCTTTATAGAGAAGTAGTGCAAGGAGAAGAGACAAAAGACCATTGACAAATAGATTGAAAAACTATCCTTGTGTGTGCACAATGCACGTATGCACACTGCACACACCATTCCTGCTTTTTTCCTTTTTAAAGTTTTGAGACAGAGTCTCACTACATTGCCCAGGTTGGCCTCGAACTTTCCATCCTCCTGCCTCAGCCTCTCAAGTAACTAGCTGGGATTACAGGTGGGTGCCACCGTCCCCAGCTCAAGTTATATTTATAGACCTGTACGAGATGCAAAATATAAACAGAAAAATTAGTTTTATGGTAAGTAAAGCTAGTTTCATATTTGTAATGTTCTTTACTAGTAGTTCACAGATTTAGCTACTTTTCAGAATCTCCTAGGAATTTGTAAGCAGACAGACTTCCAGACTCTCTCCTCAGAATTTCTAGGGAGTGGAAATGTTTTTGTGGGGTGTGTGTGGGTGTGGGTGTGTGTGCATGCCGTGCGCGTGCATGGGAGGTGGGGGGTACTGGGGATTGAACTCAGGGGCACTCAATCACTGAGCCACATCCCCAGCCCTATTTGTATTTTATTTACAGATAGGGTCTCACTGAGTTGCTTAGTGCCTCGCGTTGCTGAGGCTGACTTTGAACTGGCTATTCTCCTGTCTCAGTCTCCTGAGCCCCCTACCCAGGACTGGAAATGTTTTTAAAATATTTTTAGTCTGCTAGAAAGCACAGAGAAAAAGCTACCAAACATACAAGTAACACAGCTTTACTAAATAGAGTGATCACTTCAAATTTTATGTCTGATTATGTGATGTCCCTACTTAAAATCCTTCCATTTCTGTGGACTCCTTTATCTTTTTTGAATTAAGATTTAATCCTGAGGCTAGGTATAGGTGAGAGAGAGCTTCCCTAGCATGTGC